AAGAATACATAGGAAATGCTTTAAAATCCACAAAACCATGATTAAAGACAATAAATAAATTTAGTACATTTGCAGAATAAAAGATCAATGTGCAATAATCAGTTGTATTTCTATACATGAACAATGAGCAATCCATAATTTACAGTAAGAAATCTATTCTAGTACACTAGAATGAAAATAATACAAAACTTCAGGTTCACACATGTTGCATATGACAGGATTTCATGCTTTTTCATGGTTGAAAATTATTGTATTGTGTATCCATATCACATTTTCTTTGTCCATTCAAATGTATAAACAAATAATACAATACTTAGAAAGAAATTTAGACAACAGAGTCTGAAAATAAATCCATGTATCATTAGTCAATGATTTTCAACAAGGCTACAAAAACCATTAATGGGAAACTATGGTCTCTTTAGCTTACAGGTGTGGGACAAGTGGACAGGAACATTTAAAAGAAAGAAAGTGGGCCTCAACCTCACTCTATACACCAAAATTAACTCAAAGTGGATCAAAGGTCTAAACATGAGGGCTAAAAGTATAAAAAATTTATAAGAGAACATAGGCAAAAATCTTCATAAACTGAGATTAGGCAATAGCCTCATGTATTACATACAAAACATAAATATCAACATAAAAATAGAAGAGTTGGTGTACACCCATAATCCCAGGGATTCCGGAGGCTGAGACAGGAGGATTGTTGAGTTCAAAGCCAGCCTCAGCAAAAGTGAGGTGTTAAGCAATTCAGTGAGACCCTGTCTCTAAATAAAATAAAAAATAGGCTGGGAGGCTGAGGCAGGATCACAAGTTCAAAGCCAGCCTCAGAAAAAGCAAGGTGCCAAAGACAAAGAAAGCACAAAAGACAAAGAAAATGTGGTATATATGCAATCAATGTCTAACTTTAACTCATACTCTAAGCTACAGTAATCAAAAAAGCATGGGACCAGCACAAAAATAGAAACACAGTCCAATGGAACATAATAGATATCTTAGTACCAAACCCACACATCTACAACCAACCGGAGAAAGGACAGCCCCTTCAATAATGGTGCTGGGAAAACTGGATATCCATATGTGAAAGTCTAAAACAAGACCCACATCTCTCACCCTGTACAAAAATCAACTAAATAATTGGATCGAACACCTAAATGTAAGACATGAAACTCTGAAATGACTGGAAACAAACCTAGAGGAAAAACTTCAAGACATCCATGTGAGCCATGATTTTCTGGATAGGAGCGCAAAAACACAGGAATCAAAAGAAAAAATGATAAATGGGAATACATCAAACTAAAAAGCTTCTGCATAACAAAGGAAAAATATTTGACAGAGTGAAGACACAATCTACAGAAAATATTTTCCAAGTATTAATTTGATACAGGGTTAATACCCAGAATATATTAAGGACTCAAAAAATAACAAAAATCTAAATAACCCAATTAAAAATAGGCAAATGATCTGAACAAACATTCCTCAAAAAGAAATACAAGCCAGGTGCCATGGTGCACTCCTGTAATCCTAGCCACTTGGGAGGCTGAGGCAGGATCACGAGTTCAAAGCCAGCCTCAGCAAAAGTGAGGTGCCAAGCAACTCAGTGAGACCCAGTCTTAAAATAAAATACAAAATAGGGTTAGGGATGTGGCTCAGTGGTCGAGTGCCCCTGAGTTCAATCCCTAGTACCCCCCAAAAAAGAAATACAAATGGCCAACAAATATATGAGAAATGCAAGTACCTTAACAATAAAGAAAATGCTAATCAAAACTACAATGAGATTCTATCTCAGCCAGTTAGAATGGCCATTATCAGCAAACAAATTGTTTGCAAGAATGTGGAGAAAAAGGAACTTTCATACACTATTGGTGGGAATGTCAACTAGTACAGCCATTACTAAGAACAGTATGGAGGTCCCTCAAAAACTGAAAATGGCTCTACCATATGATCCAGTCTTCCCATTTATGGGTATATGTCCAAAAGAAGTGTGATCAACATAAAAAGACTTGCATGTCCATGTTTATTGTGGTACTATTTACAACAGCTACAATATGGAGGAGGGCAAATCATATCTCTGATCCAAAAGAAAATGAGTAGGGAAATGTCAAGGCAGAGAGGAGTGGGTAGGTGATAGAATTCACAAGTGAAGAGGATGTAGATATTCTCCAAGAAGAATAAGGAGAATAAGGTGGCCTCATTTTCTTGAAGCAGGACTGGAGAACTGAAATAAGGTAGAAATGTTCAGAATTGATGTTATAAGAAATAAGACAGCACATGAATTGACAAACAGTATCGGTAAAGGCAATGGATGTTACACAGCATATAACTCAAGTATGGTCAATGCATATCTGTACTTTGTTTTATCAGCTGAGCTCAGCAGTCTAAGAGCAAAGGCATGAACCTACAGGGCCATTCCAGAACTGTGGATTAACACAGAGAGTGAGGTGGAAGTGTGAAATGTTGGGAGATCTGTGAGAGTAGCTTAGCTCAGAAGGCAGGGAAGTGTGGAAAGCTGAGAGGAACTTCTCAGACCCTCAATTTCCTTATCTGTCAATAGGGGGGCAATGGCAAGCACTGCCGAACAGCATTGTTATGAAAAGCTTTGACTGTGATAAGGAATAAACAGGGTGGTTGGCAGTGAGCAAGTTCTTGCCCAGATGGTCTAGGAACTAACAGACCACACAAAGGCAATATTTTTTTTTAAATATTTTTCTCTTAGTTGTTGATATATCTTTAATTTATTTATTTATATGTGGTGCTGAGAATCGAACCCAGTGCCTCACACATGCAAGGCAAGTGTGCTACCACTGAGCCACAGTCCTAGCCCAAGCCAAGAATATTTAATTTGTCTCTTTGTGAAGTTCACAAAACTAGACTTTATGGTCATAACCTACCTATCCTCTTTCCTTGACCAGACTGTCGTTTTTCAGAGAACTGAGTCACTATCTATGGATTGTTCTCAGAATGAGACCAATCTTGTTCCCCACAAATCCAACAGACCAGGATTATATCAGCACAGATATTCTCACTACAATTCAACTTTGGTTAGGGGAAATCCCTCCATGAAAACACAGGAGTCTCAAAACAACATCAGTGGGCTGGGGTTGTGGCTCAGAGGTGGAGCGCTTGCCTAGCATGTGTGAGGCACTGGGTTCGATTCGCAGGACCACATATACATAAACAAAGTCTACTGACAACTAAAAAAATTTTAAAAATAAACAACATCAGTTTCACAACTTCAGTGGTGATGGAGAATTCACTCATTCTCCTTATACAGAGCTATCCTCAAAGTTCAATAATTTTCAGTGGCTTTGAGGGTGATTTTCTGAAAACCCCTAGTTCCAAATACATTTTGGGGCATTAAAGCCTTGTTGTCTTCCCCTTTCAAGGTTTGTTGGAAGCCAAACAAAAAAAAATTCATTTAACATGTATTTTTTCAGCTCTTCATTTAACTCCAGCCTGTAGTCTTTTTTAATGTTTTTTTTTGTTTGTTTTTTTGCATTACTGGGGATTGAACCCAGGAGTGCTTTGCCAAAGAGCTACATCCCAGCTGTTTTTATTTTATCTTGAAACAGTATCTTGCTAAATTGCGGAGGCTTTCTTGAATTTATGATCCTCCTGCCTCAAACTCCCGAGTCACTGGGATTACAGGTGTGGCCACAACACCCAGCTTAAGTCTGTAGTCTTTATATGCATAATCTATATATGACAGTGCTATAAGGAATAGCCAAATCTTGATTAACTAGAGTCCATCTTCAAGAAAACCTCAAACAGAGGTTGCATTTGGCTTTGCATTTGGCTTTAGGAAGAAGGGGTAAAATTAAACGAAAATACATACAAATCTGGGCTTTATCTCATAATGCAAAAAGAAACATAAAGTAAGCTGGGTATGGTGATGCATGTCTGTAATTCTAGCGACTTGGGAGTTTGAGGCAGAAGGATTGCAAGTTTAAGGTGGCCTTGGCAATCAGGAAGACTCTCTCTCAAGATAAAATAAAAATGACTTGGGAATGTAGCTCATTGACAAAGTACCCCTAGGTTCAATCCCCAGTACTGAAAAGGAAGGAAAAAAAGGAATGAAGAAAGGAAGGAAGGCAAACAAACAAAACAACAATAAAGAATTCCAACAAAACCACAATTAAAAAAACAGAACAACAACAACAACAAAAATACAGCCAAAGGTTTGATCCTCAGCACCACATAACAATAAATAAATAAAATAAAGGTATTGTGTCCATCTACAA